TGACCAAAGTTAAACTATTTCTAATGTTTCCTGTTTTAAATTTAATTTCACAAAAGTTTTGTTTTTTTAATGACAATCACTTGGTGTCATGGAGTAAATGCCACCATGAAAATTTAATTCTTCTCTCAGTCATTTTTAGTCCATATCTGATTTCACTGGTTTCCTGCCATTATGCATTGTCTACTATGTCCATTATCTCTAATTGGTCCAATTTTTTTTCAGGTCAAATTTGATTATCTAAATGTCAAAACTTTATTCTCTGTTTGAATTTTAGTCAATATCCAATTTAATAACGTGGTCAGTTTTCGTTTCTGTCAATTTGATTTTGTGTCAGTTATTTTTACACATCTGTGGTAGGTTGTATTCTTTGCTCACAATTCTGCCTTCCCTCCCCATGCACGCTATATGCATTCTGCTGGAGGACATTTTTCTACCCATCAATGTTGGGCTTGACTGTGAATGGCAGCCTATATTTTCCAAAGATGACCACAACAAAAGTTCCCATCTCATATTCATCTCCCATCTTATGTTGTGACTTTGCTGTCATCCCCCTCCCACTCCGAATCAAGCCTATGTCCTCTCCTTTTGAAACAGGGTAGACCTCTGTGAGTGCCTTTGCCAACCAGGTTTGGCAGAAGTGATGCTATGTGTCTTCTGAGGCTAGATTATAAAGATGCAATACACTTCTCTCTTATTCTCTTGGAACCCACCCACCATGCTCTGAAGGAGCCCAAACTAGCCCACACAGAGAGACCACCTGGGGTGCCACCAAGAAGTGTGTTCCTGTTGACAGCTCCAGCTGAAGTCCCAGCTGACAGCCAGCATCAAACCACCAGATGTGTGAGTGAAGACACCTCCAGAAGATTTTGGCCACAGACTTTGAATATTTCCAGATTAAACCCCAGACATTCTAGAGGAGAGGCAAGCAGTTCCCAATGTTCCCTGCCTGATTCCTGACCTGTAGAATTGGTAGGCGTAATACAATGGTTGTTTTAAGCCTCTAAGTTTTGGTGTGGTTTGTAATGCACCAATAGTAACCGGAACACCATGGGACTTGCTTTGGCCCGTGGAATGTGGAGCTGGTTGCGTGTGTGCTAGTTCTGAGCCTTGGCTTTTTTTTTTTTTTTAGAAATTTTATTGAGAAACTGTGTTTTTCCAGGACCCATCAGCTCCAAGTCAAGTAGTTGTCTTCAGTCTAGTTGTAGAGGGCGCAGCTCCGTGGCCCATGTGGGAATCGAAATGGCAGCCTTGGTGTTATGAGCCTGCGCTCTAACCACCTGAGCTAACCAGCCGCCCCTGAGTCTGGGCTTTAAAAGCATGTGTACCCACTGTCACTCTGCCCCTCAGGAGAACATGCCCTAGGTGCCTGCTGCTCCCAGAACAAGGAAACACATGGAATATTCCTTGACCCAGCTGTTATGGGCTGAAATGTGTCCCCTGCAAATTCGCATGTTGAAGTCCTAATCCCTAATCCCTCAGAATGTGATAGTATTTGAAGATAAAGCCTTTAAAGAGGTGATGAAGTTAAAAGGAGGTCATTTGGGAAGGCCCTAACCCACTCTGACTGGTGTCCTTATAAGCAGAGGAAATCTGGACACACAATGAGATGCTAAGGATACGAACACACACAGAGGAAAGACACAGAGGAGGACACAGCAAAAAGGCAGCTACCTACAAGCCAAGGAGAGAGACCTCAGAAGAAACCAATCCTGCCAACACCTGATCTTGGACCTCTAACCTCCAAAATTGTGAGAAAAAACATTTCTGTTTCTTTTTTTTTTTATTTTATTGGAGAACAGCCATGGTCACTGGTTTCACATTGCTTTCATGCTACAATGACATAGTTGACTCTTTCAAAGAGGGTGCAGCTCACAGTGGCCCATGTGGGGATCGAACCGGCAACCTTGGCGTTATCAGCACCATGCTCTAACCCATTGAGCTAACCGGTCATCTCCACATTTCTGTTTCTTAAGCCACCAAGTCTGTGGTATGTGTTATGGCCGCCCTAGCAAACCAAAATACCAACCCACAGTCCGGAACTAAACCGGCAGCTCCCAGCAGAGCCTCCGCCAACCCACAGGCCCATGAAAGATAAAAATAAATGCTCAAAGTTGTAAGCTGCCAAGCTTTGGGATTGTTCGTTACACAGCATTCTTGTAGGGAAAAATTGACTTAGTACAACATCTGATTTTTCCCTGGGCCAATTTTGATAATTTTCTTTGTTACTCACAACATGATTCCTTAGCAATTTATTAATCTAAACAAATTCTACTGCCTGCATATTTCAACATTTTTAGTTATGTTGCAACTGCTCCTGCTGCTGGCAAAGCATCAGTGTCTGGGTCAAAACATACTACTAAACATCCCCGTCATTCTTATTCCATTAGCTTCTGGCTGGCTATGGCCTTGCCAGTCCCTCTGAACAGACTGGGAAACCTGGAGGGCAGGGCTCCTGTATGCTTTCCAGCATCTCTCATGCTAAAGAGGTGGTTAATAAATGCATCCCCCATGCCAGACAGAGCCTGGGACCAAGGCAGCTGCCTGTCTCAGATAAACATTAAATGGATGTTCAAGGCTCTCCATACTCTAACGCCAACATACAACCTCAGCTCCATCTTTCTCTGTTTCTGCAGACTTGTCTCTTCGATAGAAGCAGCAAAGACTCCAAGACCCTGTGTGAGTATCCTACTTTCCCATCTCCCCTTGTCCATCTCTTCTTTCTCCTCTGACAGCCCCTTGGCATTCTTTATTTACTCTGACATGCCACGTGGTCCTCACTACCACAGGGCCTTTGCACATGCTGTCTCTGCCTTTCACCTAGTTTATACCCTGTCATCCTTCATGTCTCAAGTCTGAGGACATTTCCTCTGGGAAGCCCTTCCTGACTTCTCTAGATTAGGTCAGTTCCCCCCGTTGGCCAGTCCAAGTACCATGTACCTCCTCTTCTTAACACTCATTTGTGCTATAATTTATTAGGGTGACCATTTAATTAATGTCTGTGTTCCTATTCCAGACCTTCAGGTTCACGAGGACTGAAATAAGGTCTCATTCACTGTCTCCAGAGCCTGATACCTAGTTGGTACTCTCTAAATATTTGTTGATTGAATGAGTATTGTTGTCTCAGCTGCTCCCTTGGCATCTAGGGTGTCCATGGAGGTGTGTTGCTCAAATTTTTCTCCAAGAGAACCTGCTATGGTTCTGCTGCAGCATTTGTGCTGAGGCCACGGTCCCCCTAGGCTGCTCCTAACCAACGACTGAGCACAGTGGGTTCTAGAGATGGGTCAATATTGCCCAACACAGGACTCCTCTAACGGGCATATTTTGCCCTGGGGTTCCCCACTGATCTGGCCAAGACTTTCTCAGAGGTGCTATTTCAGTTATCAATGTATTCCCTCTCAGCTCCAAATTCACCCCTTAGTGCCTGCTCAACGATAATGAACTAGTCTCAGCATGGTCTCCTTTACAGTGAGATGCTAAACGTTGCCAGCAGAGGGTGCTATGGGGACATTTCAGGAGTAAAGAAGACTCATCTTTCCGGCTCTGGTGTGAGTGAGTGAGGGGGGAGGGAGTTTTCGCTCCCGCTATGTGGTAGGTCAGCAGCAATGTGAGGACATCAGATGGTGACCTGCCTCAACCATGAGCCCAGTGTTCACAGTCTATCAGCAACCTCGCAGCCCCCAGGCCTGGAGACCATCTTCCTGCCACCCTCCTAATACAGCTACCACACCCTCTCGGCCTCACATCTGCAAAGATGCCCCACCCACCAGCCTCGGCCCCCCTGGGCCTCTTGAAGACTTCTAACCTTGTTGTCCCGTGACTATGGACCAGCTGTGGCCCAGGCAACCCAGCAAAGTTTTCTGCCATCCAGTGGGCTTCACCCACACCTCCTCCAACGAGGTTTGAACCCCAGCGTGGGGAAGGCACCCCTCTTCCAAATGTATCCTTCTTTAAGCATGCTCCCTAGGATACCCTTTAAAGTCATCTTTACATCTCTACAGTTACTCTTTTGTGTAAACTTAGTAACTCTTTATATTAAACAGCCCCTGTTAAATTATTATGTGATTCCTGTTTCCTGGTTGGACTCAGATACAGTATACTGAAGTCAGAGGCTCTTCCCACCCAATCCTCCTGCCTTCCCTCTCTCCTTTATCTCTCAGAGGCATAACCCCTAACATATCCCCTCACATCTTTAATCCTTTCTTGGCATTTGTTTCTCAGAGGAGGCAGGCTGAAGTGACTTCCCATCACACTTAGAATAAAATCCCATGACGCCCTAATTATCTGCTTTCCGCCCCAAGACTAACCCTCTCCCCCAACACACACCTTCCTACTACCCTCCAAGTAATTCTACTCCAGTCACTCACTATGGCCTCCTTGAAGTTCCACAAACATATTGTACAAACCAGAATCCCACCCAGGGTCTTTGCAGCTGCAGCTCTCTCTCTCTCTGATACAAGGCTTGTTCCCTTGTTCCATTCAGACTTTTTCTCAAATGCCTCCTCCTAAGCGGTCTTTACCTACCACCCCCAATTGCCTGATTGCCTTTTAGCTGTCTCTTTTCCTGCTTTGTTTCTTATTAGCAATTATCACCATTTCACATACTATATATTATACTTATTCACTTTTCTGTCTCTGCCTCCCACCTCCCCCACCCCCACCCCGCCCCTTTCCCTAAGGAAATGTCTCTTCCGTGAGGCCAGAGACTGTCTGCCCTGTTCACTGACATATCCGCAGGGCCTGGAGTGGTACCTGGCACACAATTGATACTCAATAAGTATTTGTTAATTGACTGAAGAAAGGAGTGTCTTGGCCAGTCTCTTTCTTGCCTTTCCTAATTTCACCTGTCCTTTAAGACTCAGCCCGAGCCCCTACTCCTCCAGGAAGCCCTCTCTAACAAGCCAGGCTCTGAGCCCCTGGCAAGTGGCTTATTCTTGCCCCTCGCCTACCAAACTGCCTAATTTTAGGTATAATGTAGGCTTCATAGCAGGTAAAGATTGAGGTGAAGCTTAAAGACCGAAGAGAACAGGCCAGCTTTATTGGGGTTGAGGAGAGGGGACGGGGGTGCACCATAAGCTCTGGGCCAGGGTGGAGCTGCCGGAAGAGCAGCCTGGGGTGCAGGATGCAATGTCACTTCTTCCACTCCTTCTTCTCATAATCCCACCGGGAGGCCAGGCCTTGCACGGGGTTGCCCTTCATATCCAGGATGCGCTGGAGCTGCTGGGCCTTCCACTCATCCGTCAGGGTGATGGGCTTCTTCGGGAACACTGCAGGGAAGGCATGGGGTAGGGACAGGGGCAGCTCAGGACCCTATCAGGCCTGCCCTCTCCCGCTGAGAAGGGTCTCCGGTCACAGGATTAGCGTGTTCTGCACTGAGGGGCTCCCTCTACCCTGCCCATTGCCCCCTCCAGGCTCCCTCCTAAAGCTTCATTCCAGGGACCTCCGCGTTCTGGTCCCAGCCCTGCATTAGTGTCGCTGTGGGAACGGGGCCAAGGTCCTTCCTCTTTCTGAGCCTCAGTTTCCTCACCTATTCTGTGGCCCAATGGTAACAAACAGGTGAGCACAGGTTTGAAGTTAGCCCTGGATCCAAATCCCAGTTCCACCACTTCCTTGTTGTGTGACCTTGAACAAGTCACTTTATCTCTCTGAGCCTCAGTTTCCTTACCTGTCGAAAATAGGTCCTATCCGCTAGGGTTGAGATTGAAGGAGTTAGTATTTATAAAGCAACTGACACAATGTGGGACAGATATTAAGCCCCTAATACATGGTAGCTACTATAATTATAATTACTGAGTTTGGTCCCACTTATAGGGAAGGGTCCAGGATGAGGTAGTTTCTTTTGCTTCCTGAGAGGATTGAGAGTAGGAGATAGGGTAGGGGTGTTCACTTTAAAAATCTGGGGAGGGCAATACGTAACCCCAAGGCTGAAGCACTCACAGAGGCGTTTTAGGTGCCTTCATGTGTGGATCAGCGGAGGCATAGGGACTGGAGCACCCAACACTGCTCACATCTTACTTCCTGGTCCATCTGCCCCTGAGACTGACAGCCTGCCTGACCTCTGTCCCTAGTACTTTCTGTCCCAGTGGGCGGGCAAGAAAAAAAAAGGCCTTTCTGGGCACCTATGAGTACCAAACATTGAGCTAGTCTAGAATTTTCCCCAAAGGCTATCTCATTTCATCCTCATACAGGGTAAGAATTTCCATCACACTTTTACAGAAAAAAAAAACAAGAGGTGAGGCCACAAGAGGTGAAGTCAAGTGAAGCTGTTGGTCCAGGGACCACACTTTGAGAATCACTCTTCTGTAGTATTAACTCATCAGCTGGGTATGTGAACACCCAGGTTCCCTTGTGGCTAAACATAGTTATGTGACCGTTTCTAGCCAATAGAATGTGAGCAGAAGTGGTGTGTACAACTTCTGGATCTTAAAGAGATGCGTGTCCTCCCTTTCCCTCCTCTTGTATGAAATGTAGACTCTATGGCTAGAGCTAGAGCAGCCATCTTGTATATCAAGAAGGAAGCTGCAGGCTAAGGCTGGCAGAGCAACAAGACACAAGGAAAGGCTGGCCGAGTGGCTCAGTTGGTTAAGAGCTCACTCAAGAGTGCGAGCTCTGGGCCGGCCGAGTGGCGCGATGGTTAAGAACTGGCTTGGGACGCCAGAGGGCCCCGGTTCGGATCCCACATATGAGGGCCAGTGACACTGCCCTCCACAGCTAAGATGCTGAACAACAGCTCAACCTGGAGCTAGGCAGCCGTGAGTCGCCGGCGACGGCGTAGGCTGCAGCCCCTGTGGCAGTGGGTTGCCATGGGCTGCCGTGTGTAGCCAGCAGCCAGCGTGAGCGGCCAGCAGCCGGCGTGAGCGGCCAGCAGCCGCAGTGAGCGGCCGTCCAGAAGCCGGCGACTGATCTGCCTCGCCCGGGAAGAGCGCAATGATGGTGCCAACTTGGGCCAGTGAAGCAACGTCCTCAACAACTAGACTGAAGAACAAAAAACGACAGCAACTTGTCTGTTCCCCTTCCCCCAATTCCCCAGCACTGTTCCCATCCCCCCAATTCCCCAATAAAAATCTTAAAAAAAAAAAAAAAAAAAAAAGAGTGCGAGCTCTGAGCAACAGGGTCGCCGGTTCCATTCAGGGCCCGGCTGAGCTGCCGCTGAGCTGCCAAAAGGTGGCAGGATGGCTCACTTAAAAAAAAAAAAAAAAGACACAAGGAGCCTGACTTTGTAGAGTCCCCATACTCCCCCTGGCTTTTTTTGTGAGAGAGGAACAAAATCTCTATCTTGTTTAAGCTCTTGTATGTTAGGGACTCTTTGTTACAGCAGCTGAAAAAACATACTGAAAAAATTCATGGTGAGTAACAGCAATCAATAGCACCACCATTCATGACTATGTGCCAGCCAGTGGCCTACAGCTCTCTCTCATGAAAACCTTACAAGAGCCCTGAGATGCGGACACTCTTATTCCCATATTCCAGATGAGAGAACTGAGGCCCAGAGAGGTAGAGTCCCTACCTTCCCACCTGGTAGCCATGTTCTGCCCTTCACCCTATACCTCTTTGAAAGACTTTTCAAAACTCTTCAGATGAGTAGCAGCATAGTTCCCTTGGTTGGTGGCTGTAGCCACAAGGGCATAGCCCAGGGCTACAGCCAGGTGAGGTGTTGCAACCTACCATAGACCCGCTGCCACCAAATCAGCAGAGCTGTGAATCCACAGAAGAAGAAGACACAGCCCATCACTGTCTTCCACTCATTGGAGCGATGGTTCATCTCCGCAAAGGTCTCATGGAACTGGAGCCGGTACACTGAAGACAGGTAGGAAGTGGGCAAGCAGGGGCCTCAGGTGCAGCCTTTCCAAGGACCCTGGGCCAACTCTCGGTCTCAGGGATCTCTAGCCTCCCCGTCCCTGCAACAGATGCTGTCCATTCGGCAAATTCTTATTGAGCATCTACTGTATGCAAAGTATGGCCAGGAGCTGGTGCTGAAGCTACAAATATCAGAGTCAGCCCAGGGACTTCTGGTGGGCAAGACATAGGGTCACACATCCCTCCTGCTTCCCAGGGTCAGGCCTCTGCTCCCCCACCCACCTCACCTGCCTCTCTCTATTCTGTCCCCTCACACCACTCAGTGATGCCAGGACCCTCCATGCTCTCCTGCTCCCATAGCCTTCCCCATGCTGCTCCCATTGTGTAGCAGCACACTCTTCCCACCATTCAAGGCCAACTGGAATGTGCCCTCCTCTGGAAGGCCCTCCAGGATTCCATCTCTCTCCTTCAGGTCCTCACAGCCTTTTGAACACACTTCACCCTAGCCACATACCCTGTATTACCTGGGTTTGTGCCAGTTCCCTCACTGGACTCCAAGTACCCTGATGGCAGGAACCATCTGGGCGATTCACTCCTGTAACCCCAGCATCACCTAGCATTAGGCTGTGCATGAGTAGTTGAGTGAATAAAAGAATGAATGAACAAATGAATGAACCTCCCCACTCAGGTATGCATTCAGGTGGGGGGGGGGTCTCTCTGCCCACTGCTCCCTGACAGGCCCTTCTTTGCAAAATCACTCCCAGCCCACTCCCCGCCCCCGAGCCCCACCCTGAGACCTACAGGCCACCTTCTCGGCGTGGCTCAGCTGGGTCCAGCTGCCCTTCTCCTTTTCCTTCAGGGCCCGCTGCTCTGCGTTGAGCTCTGTGCAGAAGGGCTCGTCCGGCATGGGGTAGGAGCGCTGGGCATGGTAGTTGGTGTAGGGGGGCATCTTCTCCTTGCTGGGGGCTGTTGGCACAAGGGAGGAGCTCAGTTCAGGCTTCCCCTGGGACATCCCAGCACTAACAATGGAGAAGGCTGCATTTATTGAGCACTTACTGTGTGCCAGGAGCCATTCTAAGGCCTTCAGGTGAGCTAACACATTTACTCCACATCACTCTGAGCCAGGTGATGCTGTTATCTCCATTCCACAGATGAAGAAACTGAGCAGCTAAGTGACTTGCTGAAATTCACAAAGCAAGGACCAGGGCCAGGGCTGCAATTCAGACCCTGTGGCTTCAAATCCCAAGTTCTCTGGGAATATTTGAGGTGAGGAGGGCATGTGAGGCAGAGGTAATGAGTGGGCAAAGGCTCAGTGAAATGAATCTGAGAGGACAGATGTAAACTACTCTGTAAACGATAGGGGTCAAGAGCATGGCTTTTGAGTCAGCTGGGTTTGAACCCCAGTTCCTCCCCACCCTAGCTCCCACTGACCCCTTTACCGCATTGTGCTTGAATGCCATGGCACACAGTAAATGCTTCATAAACTATACTGATAAAGAGAGAGGTTGGTTTACTTCTATTCCTGGACATTTCCCCTGATGGCTAAGCCCTCAAGGGCTCTGTGTGGGTGTCTAGAACAAAGCTAAGTACTAGGAGGGTCTCAATAAAACTTCTGTTTATTGTCACCAGAGATGCCCACAAGGAGGGTACTGGTATCACCTTACCAGGATAGCACTGGAACTGCTTTGTGCAAGGAATCCTGGCTCTTTTAATATCTAGGTCTCTGGGCCTTGTTTGTTCACCTGAGAAATGGAGATAATAACAGCATCCACCGCACACGGTTGTTGTGAAGTCTAAATGTGTTAATCTGTGTAAAATGTTTATCACAGCTTGGGGTACATGGTAAGAGCTCAATAAATGTTATCTGTTATTATTCTCCTGAGAGTCAGGAAGGCCCTTCTGCTATCTGGCTGAAGTCTCTCCTGCTTTAGGCCTTTTGCGTCTGACTAGCACTGACACCAGGGTCCAGAAAAGAGATCCAAGTTTCTGTCATTTCCCTCTACCTCAGAACACAAAGGCCTGAGGGGCCTGAGGTTTTGGAATCAGGCCCTGAGGAAGCTTGGATGGAGGGGGCTGCTGTCTGCTCACCCTTTGAGAGCTATTTCCTGGAGGAATGTGGCCCAGGACCAAGGAGTAAAGATTGTGGGAAACGTTTTTTGGGGTAGGCCCAGGGCAGCATGGAAGGGACGAGGGGCAGCCTGCAGACAGGACTCCTGGACCTAGCTTTGGAGTTTGGCGACGGAGAAGGGAGACCACGTCTTACCAGTGTCTCCTGGGCTGTGTATCCCTCGTATTCCAAGTCTTCCTTTCCTCAGCACCAAACTCCAGGCAGCTCTGAAAAACATCTTTGGGGTGGGGGGTGGGGTGGATGAGTCCTGTGCCCACACTGTGCTATGTCCCTATCCCTCAGGGCCCAGAGAGAGAAACCATTTTCACAGGTGTGGTGGTGGTGGGATTCCAGAATTTCAAGGTCACCCTCGGGCCCCTAACCCTTCTAATTTTGTCGAATTTCCCTATGGGGGTAGATGGGGGGCCTAGACATGTGGAACCCTCTCCTAGGACCTCCCTGCACCATCTAAGAAGTGGGAAGGGGCCAAATTCTTAAGGCAGAGTCTGAACAGTTTGGGGCTGGGGGCCTGGGCTCTGCTTCCTACCCCAGCTCAGCCTGGCCAGGTTGGGAAACCTCCCTCAGCTGTTTGGCTCCCCAGAGGAAACAGGGTGGGAGTCCACATAAGGAGGGAGCAGGGCCTGGGGCTACCTCCCTTCCCTACAGGGCCATCTGCCACGGTTTCTGCCAGATGGTCTGGCCCCCACCCCTTTCCCCCTAATTGGCTGCCTACGTGCACAGTGCTCAGAGAGCTTGCTCTGCTGGATCTAGTGGGGGAGGGGGACAGGATGAGCCCAACCCCCACGGGTCTCAGGGTCTGGCATCCCATGGGGGTGGGGAGGACTTTAGAGGAGGACAAGGACCAAACTAGGTCAGAGGGAGGAAGAGGAACACACATCTGGGGAGAGGAAAGAGGTATCCCATTTCGGGAAAGAGAAAGGGTCCCCCACATCTGGGGAGAGGGGCACCCAATAGTTAGGGAGGGCATATACCATAGGTGATAAGTGGAGAGGGGCTCCCACATCTGGGAAGGAATGGCTCCCCATCACGTATAAGTGAGTGAGAGACCTGCATATAGGGAGAGGGAAGGAGTAATCTACATTTGGGGAAAAAGTTGGCGCCCCATTTGCGGACAGAGAATAATTCCCCAGGAGTCCTCAACTCTGAGCTACCAGAATCGCACACACATATCCCAGCCCCCCATGGCAAGGACTACACGGGCCGGAGTTTAAGCCTCATCCCCCACCCGCCCCTGCGAGAGAAGCGGGGCTCTCCCACCCACTTACCTCGCGGCTCTGCTGCAGCGAGAGAAACCAGGGTCCGCCAACCGAGCAACAGAAAATGGGCTGCAGAGACTGGAGCGCTGGCGCCTGCCCCAGGGCCCGCCCCACAGCCTTTCCTAGGGCCGCCCCTGCGTGGGAACGTCTTGCCTCTGAGGGGCGTGGGAGCGCCCAGCCCACGTCCCTGGGGGCGCCCAGCCCACAGCCTGGAGAGAGGGACTGCAGAGCGACTTCCGCCCACGAGGAGACCCCCAGCTAACTGGGCCCTGGGACACAACTGGCTGGGTGTCCTGGGCTAGCGCAGCCCTCTGAGTTGGGTGGTTCCAGGAGCTGGATCTTCCTGCCTCAACACCTTTGCTCACTGCTGTTCCTTCCATCTGGAACGCTCTTAGGGCCTTTGTAGACCCAAGTCTTGCCAACTTTCCAGCCCAGACCCAAAGGCTCCTACTCCAGGAAGCTCACAAGCACTAGAATCTGGAAGCTGGCCTGTGGTGTACTACCTCACTCCCACATCCTCATAGCCAATGACAGGTGGAAAAATCGTCCCTGTGGCGTTCAAATCATAGCTGTGGGCCTTCAACAAAATGGTCTACCCTCTCTGAGTTCCTGTTTTCTTTTCTATAAAAGGGAGCTAATGATAGTTCTTACCTCACATGGCTGTTGTAAAGATTAAATAAGTCAATAGAAAAGCATCAGGCACATTTATTCAAGAATTATTTATTAAGACCTGTTACAGCTGGCATTTATTGAGTGTGTATTGTTTATCTGGTTAAATGTTTGGGGATATAGAGCCAAACAAAACCAAACATAATCTCTGCCCTTATAGGGCTTACAATAAATTCCAAGCATGGAGAAAGGCCTGGGCAAGGGTCCAGGGGCAGAAAAACACAGGTATGTTCAAAGAACAAAGAGAGGCCATTTTGGCCAGCATGTAATGGACAAAGGGGAGAGCTGGAGTGGGTTTGGACCACCAAGCAGGGCCTCATAGGTGATGTGGTTAAATGGAACAGAGCATGAGTTCAGTAAATGTGGCCTGGCATTGTTAGAATACTGATGGTGGACTGATGGGTGAAGGCTGTGGGTCCTTGCTGTGGCCCCCTGCTGTGGCCTGGAGCTAAAGCTTTCTAGGTCTCCCAGCTCTGGGCCCATGAGGTATGCCCGGTGCCCACCCACTGATCAGGGTTTCGTTAGCCCAGTGAGGCCATTAGGGACCCACTCCAGACAGTGTCTGGAGGGAAGGGTTTAGTCCCTAAGGGGCAGATGAACCTGGAAGTGGAGGGACTCAGGGAAAGGTGCTAGAGACACCCTAGAGTGGGCAAGATGGATGTCACCTCCATTCTGGACTTCAGCAGCAACAGACACAAAGCCAGTGAGAAAGCAGTGCAGGAACCTCCTGGATCTCCAAGAGACCCTAGCTTCCAGGACTAGCCATGGTTACTTCTGGGAGCTGTTCCTCCCCCTTCCACATGACCAAGGGAATTCCAGATTTGAGAGATCCCCAAGAGGATCACTTTACCTCTTGGATGCTGACCAGAGTGTCCTGAAGAGTTGGCCCTATGGACAGAGGACAAGGGAAGACCCTCCTTCAGGCAAACTGGAAAGAGCATGCCTTGAATCTTTTCAGACTTTTTCACGGGCAGGCGGACCACTGGACTGAGTGGCTAATGTGTAGGTTATACGGCTGCCTCACTGGTGGCCAAATGGTGCCATTTCTGGGCCTCAGTTTCCCCATCCCTCAGGGGGCTTCCCAAGGGAAGGCATTTGGGGATTGTAACTCTCTGTTCTGCCCTGCCCTCTCCCACCCCCGCCTCTGTGGGAACTCCAGGCCCCAGATGTGGGGCGATGCTATGATAGGGAACATCTGTTGGGGATGAGGGAGATAGGTTGGAGGCTGGCCTCCAAGGCTTCAGGTTGACATAGGGCAATACTTCTGCCTGTGGGGCAGTGTGGAGCAGGGTCTGGAGGTCCTAAACCTGGGAATAGTCAGACTCTCCCATAAGGCAGGTCTCTCAGGGGTCCTGGGACAACGAAGCACCTTGGTGGGCATAGAGGGGAGGGGGCTCCGGATAGGGTATTACAGGTCATTCACCATGATGGGCCCTACATGTGAGTGCAGGCTGAGATTGTAGAAACAGCAGGAATAGGAGGTGAGAGAGATCTGTCCCTTTTCCGTTGGCTCTGCGTCTTCAAACCCCCGGCTCTGACTCACTTGATTAGATAGATCCAGGGAGTCCTAGAGATTCTGCCCAGACATAAAGACCTAAGTCAGGCCTCAGCATCCTGCGTGTATTTACGACTCCTCCCAACCCCTATTCAGGCTTCACGCAGAACCCACCTCGGGGCCGCCAGCCCAGGGGGGATACCGAGGAAGACCTAGACCTTATGCAAGACCTGAAGGCGAAAGTAGGAACAGGTGTTGGACAAAGTGTCACGGACCTTTAGCCCCCAACCCCTCCCGAGACCCGGGAGCCGGCTGAACTTGGGGAGGAGGTCTAGAATTGGAGGGGCGGGGCCAATAAGTACAGGGGCGGGTCCAAAGATGGAGGGTAGTGGGAGTCAGGGAAAGGGGTTCGAAGAAAGGTAGGACTGGGCGGGGCTTATCCTTTGGGTGGAGACTGCAGTGTAAGGGCGGGGCTAGGGTAAAGTAGGGAAACGAGGCACTAAGGGGGTGGGGCCAGTTGGGTGGAAGGCGGGCCAGTGAATAGAGGGGGCGTGGTCAGGATCTAGGGCGAGACCATCCATCCCCCCAGCAGGAATTCTGGCTGACACGCGGACTCTGCCGAGGCGCTGACTCCGGAATCCTGAGGCCTGTGGAGCAACAGGCAGCGCCAGCATGAGGATGCCCAGGCAGCAGCTCAGGCTCGGAGATCGTCGTGCGAAGACCCGCAGCTCCATGGGCCAGTCCAGAAAGCGCTTATGCAACTGTGAACAGGCAGGCCGGGTCAGAACCAGCGCGGAACCAGGGCTGCCACGGGGACGGACGCTAATGGCAGGTTTCCCGGCCCTGGGAACGATCCTGTAGCGCGATCAGGGGTAGGTGAACGCCCTGGGCTGGATTTCGCTGGGACAGGACGGGAATGCTGGCCTGGAAGATGGAAAACTCTTTCCGGCGGGTCTAATCTTTGTGTACCGCCCCCACCCCGGGACAGACGCCCTCAGAGGAGGCAGCAGGGCTGAGGGAGGGGTCCGGCTGGTGGCAGCCCGGGCAGCGACGTCGACCCTTCCCTTACCTGGGGCACGAAATTGAGCGAAGCTCGGAGTGTTCAGCGGGAAGCGGAATTCCTTGCAGAGTTGCAGGGGCGATGTTTAGGGACGACCTCTCTTGGCTGTCACTCTTGGCCCCTTAGCTCCTCCCTCGAGGCGTCAATCCTCTCGCCTCACCCACAAGGGGCCCTTATTCTAGGTGCCACCTACCTTGTCACTCCTAGTACGTCACCTACGTCCCGCGTCTCCTCCCTCCTTCCCCGGCTTCGAGCTACAGTCATCCTCCGCCGCCCCTAAGACAGTCATTGTTCCCCCTTCCCGCGGGGTTCCACCTCATAGTCCAGCGCTCCGCCATCTCCAGTCCCGTCAGTTATCTCTGGCCCCCCTCCACCGCTGGCCTCGCCCCTACCCTGAAAGATTCCTCCTCAGTCGCTCAGCCCGGGTCCACCCCTTGCCCTGTCAGTCACTCCGGCATGGCCTTCACAAGCCACTAAACCTTCGTCCTGTCCCCAGCCTTGCTCTTTCGGTCATCTGTGGTGCCGCCCCGCACGGCGACCGCCTCCTCTGCTCAGCCCTCCCCTAATCGTCATCCAAGCCTGGCTCCAGTTTGCCAGCTAACGTCCTAGCCGCGCCCCTGTCATTCATTCAAGACCCGCCGCGGCAGATCGGTCCCGAGGTCCTGCCTTATCCATCACTCCTCTCGGGCCCATGCCAGTCCGGCCCGGACTGACACGCAGGCCCCGCTCTGCTTGTCACACGGGCCCCACCCTCTCGGGCCCGCTCAGGTACCGCCCTTACCACGCGGTCCGTGAGGATGCAGGTGGGAATTCCCACGTAGAAGGCGACCGCCGCGGTGGAGGAGGCGATGGCGTCCCCCAGGCAGGGGCAGAACCGTGCGGCCTGCACACTCTGACCGCGGGAAGGGCGCGGAGCCGTCGGATGGATAGCTGAGCTCGCCACGAGTGAGGAGAAGGGGCATGGTGATGAGGGTTTCGTCAGAACTCGCTGCAGCGAAATTCCGAGATCTGGTCCTGAGGCCTGAGGCCTCATCACCACCACCTCCTCTGGGCAGATGTATACAAATGACCCCCTAGCTAATATCAGGGACCCTGAAGCTTGGCCTCTAGGAGGCCCATCTCTAGGGTTCTAGTCCCAGCTCCATCCTCTGCTGGTTTCAGTCCCTACCCCATCTTCCCACCCACCCCGATTACCCCATAACCTCGGCTTCCTGGTCTCTATATTGTCTGTCACACCCAAGCTCTGCTTAAGGGCTGTGAGGGTGAAGTGATGGTCTGAGCAGGGATTTTCCAAGAGGTGCCCACAACAGTGGTAAATCAGCTAAGCTATAGGTGGGGTATCACTCTGAGGTCCAGCCCAGTGCTCTGCTCTGACCAGCAGCATCACCACCAGGGGGTAGTCCAATTTGACAAAGGCTTCAGGCAGTGGGATCCTGAGGGTGCAGGGGGTGAAATCAGCCCTGGGATAGGCACTGCCCCCTTCAGATTATGCCCTGGGGCTCCTCACCTGGAATGGCCTGCAGCTTCTGCTCCAGGTCTTCCAGAACCTTCTGCATCACAGGCCAAACCGGGGATGCACAGTACAGGATGTGAGGGACCTTGGCCAAGCTCCCAGGCTGGGCCCTTCTCTTCTCTTTTCTCCCAACTGGCTTATGAGCCTGGAGCTATGCCCCCTGGATGTGGCTCAGTAAGTTTATCAGTAATTGTGGCCTTAACAATATCTCTAGTTTCACATGCTCTTTCTATAATATGACCTTGACACTCTTACCATAGAAGGGTGGGATCTATGTCCCCATTTCTTGAACGTGAGTGTACCTTTGTGACAGCCTTAAACATAGAACATGGTGAAAGTGATGCTATGTGACCTCCAAAGCTAGATCATAAAAATGCCACGTACTCTCTTGGGACAGTCTCTCTTAGAACCCAGCCACCATGCTGTGAGGAAACCAAACTAGCCTGTGTGGAGAGAGCCCATGGAAAGGTCATATGTGGTGTTCTGGCTGCCACCCTAGCTGAAGTGCCAGCCTCCAGCCAGCCTCAACTTCTAGACACATACATCTCCAGATGATCCCAGTCACTAGCCTTCAAGTCCCCCTCTGCTATCAAGTCTTCCCAGCTAAGGCCCCAGACATTGTGGAACAGAGACAGGTCATCCTTGCTGTGCCCTTTATGAATTCTTGACCCATGGACTCCGTCAGCATCAGACAGATGTTTTATACACTAAGATTTCACTAAGATTGCAGCAATAGTAACTGGAACGGCAATATAATGTTTTTTTATTGGGGATTATTGGGGAACAGTGTGTTTCTCCAGGACCCATCAGCTCCAAGTCAAGTAGTTGTTTCAGTCTGGTTGTGGAGGATGCACCTTAGTGGCCCATGTGAGAATCGAACCAGCAGCCTTGGTGTTATGAGCACTGCACCCTGCGCTCTAACCACCTGAACCAGCTGGCCATCCCTCAAATGTTATTTTGATTTCAATTTACCTGACTCCTCATTTGACTCAGTTATTTCAGAACTTGGGCAAGAAAGAAGGTGTTAGGTATTAACACCCAAAACCCCACCACTGTCCTTCAAATTTCAGCCCAGATATCCTCTCAGAGACTTTCACTGAACCCTATGGAAAGTGCCCTTCCTAATCAAGTCTAAATTTATTTTCTTCCCAGCACTTTTCATTTTCCAAAATTACACACATGGAAACCCACATATCAAGTCTTCTTTGAAACCTACATATCAAGCCTGTTGACCCAGGTCACTCCACTTCCAGACTATGATGAAGTGAGTCCAGACTGTGCAATGGACTGTATGTCTGTGTCCCCTTAAAATTCTTATGTTGAACCTTATCCCCAGTGTGATGGTATTAGGAGGTGGGGCTTTTCGGAGGTGCTTAGGACATGAGGGTGGAGCCCCCATAAATGGGATTAGGACCCTTATAAAAGAGACCCCAGAGAGTTCCCTCATCCCTTCTGCCTTGTGAAGTTACAAGTAGAAGATGGCTATCATATGAACCAGGAAAGCCAGCTCTCACCAGGTACGGAATCTACCAGCACGTTGCTCTTGGATTTGCAGTCTCCAGAACTGTAATAAATAAATTTCTGTTGTTTATAAACCATTCAATCTATGGTATTTTGTTATAATAGCCCAAACTAATTAAGACAGGTTGTTAGATTTATACCCTCACATTTAATTGTTATTGGTGCTATTGCAAATGGTATTTACATTTTTTTCAATTTCCAGTTGTTCATTGCTACTATATAAAAATGCAATTGGGCCGGCCGAGTGGCTCAGTTGGTTAAGAGTTGGCTTGGGATGCCAGAGGGCCCCGGTTCGGATCCCACATATGAGGGCCAGTGACACTGCCCTCTACAGCTAAGATGCTGAACAACAGCTCAACCTGGAGCTGGGCTGCCATGAGTCACCGGCGACGGCGTAGGCTGCAGCCCCTGCTGCAGTGGGTTGCCATGGGCTACCGTGAATAGCCAGCAGCCAGCGTGAGCGGCCAGCAGCTGCTGTGAGCGGCCGTCCAGAAGCCGGCAACTGATCTGCCTCACCTGGGAAGAGAGCAATGATGGTGTCAACTTGGGCCAGTGAAGCAACGTCCTCCACAACTAAACTGAAAAACAAAAGGACAGCAACTTGTCTGTTCCCCTTACCCCAATTCCCCAGCTTTGTTCCCATCCCCCAATTCCCCAGAAAAAATCTTTAAAAAAAAAAAGAGTTGGCTTAAGAGCATGAGCTCTGAGCAACAGGGCCACCGGTTCAATTCCCACATGGGCCAGTGACGCTGCACCTGAGCTGAGCTGCCGCTGAGCTGCACCTGGCTGCCGTAGGTGGCCAGATGGCTCAGCTGGTGTAACAAGAAGATTGCTTGTTCAATGGTGGGCTATGCCCACCCACAACTAAGACTGAACTCAGCACCTTGAGCTGAGCTGTTGCCCAGATGGCTCAGTGGATAGAGCATGCACTCTTAACAACAGGCTGCTGGTTTGACTCCCGCATGGGATGGTGGCTATGCCCACCCACAGCTAAGATTGAACACAGCACCTTGAGCTTAGAGGCCAAGAGCTGCCAATGGGAAGCCAGATGGCGACTGGCACCCTCCACAACTAAGATTGAAGAACAACAATCTGGCTGGTCCCCTTCCCCAATTCCCCAACACTGTTCCCCTCCCCCAATTCCCCAATAAAATCTTTTAAAAAAACACAATTGATTTTTATATATTGCTCTTATATTCTATGACCCTGTTAAATTCATTTACTAGTTACATTAGTTTGCTAGGTCTGCTGCAACAAAGTACCACAGACTGGGTGGCTTAAACAACAGAAATGTATTTATTGTCTCACAGTCCTGGAAGCTAGAAGTCCTAAATCAAAGTATGTGCAAGTTTGGTTATTTCTGAGGGCTGTGAGGAAAGGACCTGTTCCAGGCCTCTCTCCTTGGCTTATAGATAGCTGTCTTCTCCTTACGTCTCTGTCTCTCTCT